TTTCAAGAAAAAATTCTTTCAGGCACGACGAAATATTCAATTATCATTTTATAATATTATTAATTTCGTTAATAGTAGAAAGTTCATTAGAAGGCTGGACTCCAGTCCATTAATCTCTTAATTACCAGATATTTATGATTTAAACAAATATAAACAAATATATAAATAAATTGAGTATTTTATCGTGCAATTTCTTCTAGTTAATTTCGGTGAGAGCTATTATTTTTTATCGGATTGCTTTGAATCATTTGTTGGGCGTGAAAAATAGTAAATACTGGGATGTAAACAAACCTTGATTCACTGAAAACAGCATTTTCACCACAGCATCTCCGAACTCTTGGTCTCATGGTGGCGGCAGCCCTATTTGTCTCAATTTTTCTCGGCATGCAAACAAGCAATGCCTTAGGATCAGCACAATAATCACTAGATCCATATGTAGAGCCACTTCCACCCTCGAGGATGGCATCACCAGCCTCGAGAATAATAAAAGGTGTGAAGGAACTGTAGGGAACAAAACTCAGCACTTTGTCGTCCCCACAATTCGGCCTTTTTCCCTCCAAAATTTTCCAGTGCAATGGCGGCTGGAGAATTATACTTTTCTTCGATGGTGAATAAATAACTGGCTCCCAGGCCTTGGAGTTTGGAACACATTTCAACTTCTCTAGGTTATCACCATCACTTGGCTTCTCCAACTTCTCACCGAATTTACAACATTTTAGAATTATTGTTTGCGTTGTTGATGCACTTATTGACACACACAGGGCCCCGGTTAAGAGCAAATGGTAGATTTTCACTGACATTTCACTTGGAACGTTGACAGTCTGTTAGGTTTTAGTTTGGAATTCAAATTATTTTTTATTGGGGCTTTCCTGGGGAGTTCAGAGGTTTTTGGCGCGCGAGGCTTTCACATGGATGTCATTTTTCGTCGTGAGAATTTCAATTGTTTTTGAAAATCGATTTTCCGATGGATTTGAGCCGCTTTGAAAATGTGGGTTTGAATTATTTTCGGGGAGATTTTTCGTATAGTTGTTCGTACGAGAGTCGCGGGTGTACTGAACTGCTCGGCCGTCGCCACGAGGAGTCGAACCTCTCGGCGTGACTCCACCGGTGCGCGCGCAACTTTCACCCTTCGCGCGGGAGAAATTTTTTTTACAATATTCGGGTTTTATTTATTTGGCAACGAATTTCCACAATTTCTTAATAAATTAATAAATAGGATAAATAGAATAGAGTAAATTAAATCAATTAAATAAATAAATAACTAAAAAATTAAAACTAACTAAATAATTAAAAAAAAATAAAAATAAAAAAAAATATTTATGAAATTTCAAACAATTTTGTCCCGCCATTTTTTCAATTCACATATATATATAACGATGGATCTTGAAAAAATATGGGATTTTATAATGAATATTCAATTTGTTGATGGAATGATTTTAACTAATTTTTTATTTTCGATATTTATGGTGAAATAAAAAATCAATTGTTATGTAAATCATTTAACAGTGAATATTCCTCTGTTGAATAAAAGATTGGATATTTTTCCCGAGGGATTATTCTTAAAAAACGGAATGCCGTCACCTGACGAAAGGCAAAATTCACCGGATATTTTTCGTGAATGGGGAGTTGAATAGATCCCGCGGTCCGAAAATATAATAAAACTCGGGACGACAAAGGAATTCAGCGGCTCTTGATAAAACAAGAGAGAAATACTCGGTCAATCGTCGGGGAATTTTTTTTTTATCAAAAAACCAAACAGTCGGTGGACGCCATCAATTATTCCCCCGGGTCTAGTGGCGCCCGTGTGAAAAATTTATTTTTCATATCGTTTTTTTCTGTTTTTACGGATTTTTCCATTTGTTTTGGCTTTTATATTTTTTACTCCATTTAACTTGACTTGTGCAATCTGCAAATGACACGGAAATAATTCACAGAATTTGCCATCAATTTTTTTATCTTCACGAAAATCCAGTTCAAAAGTTTAATAAACAATAACAATAACAAATTGAAAATTCATTTTTGGAATTGTCGACATTTTTCACCGATATTTATTTCATAAATAATCTCATTCAATAAAAAATGGAATAAAACAATTCATTATAATGTCAATTATTTAATAATAATTAAAAATAATTTTTGGTACCACTGATTGAAATAAAATAATTCCATCTCATCAATTACATTAATTACATTAATTTAAACAAATACATGCGCATTTTCCCCTGCCCTCCCCCATAAAAAAAAAATGAAAGACTTTCGCTGATAATTTGTACTTCAAAAGTGGATCGGATAATTTCTGATTCCATTTTCTCCCCTCAGCAAATCCAAGAAATGCCTTTAAAAGTTTTTTTTTCCGCTGCCACCATTCGCCTCCTCTCGAGTTCCGCCCTTTTTTCTTCAATTAAACTTCCTCGTCATTTCTCCCTGGATACCTGAACGGCTTCACCTAGAGCTGGTAAAGGTTAAAATTGAAAATTTATGTCTCACGTTAAAACGTAAAAATAATAATAAAAAAGAGATTTAAAAAAAAAATCCTAACGAGAAATCTCATTCGAGGGAAGTAAAAATTCATCAAACTTTCCAATTAAGTGGCAATCAAACTTTACGTACGTCTCGACTATTTTTATCTCAATTTTCTCGTGTTTTCTGATTACTCCATCGAGATGGTGTCTTTGTGAGTTTAATAAAAATGAAATGAGGAGGGAACAACAATGCTGAAGGGAATAAAAAGATACTGTCAACAAGTGACGGACTGATAACAACTTTATACCCATGAATTTATCTCAGATTTCAGTCGTTTCCAGAGGGGGAGAGCCGATAAAATCGGTATTACATGCACACGCTATTTACAATTCTAGATGATCATGCGGGAGTCAATGTATTAAAGGGAAAGTGATGAACATATTAACATCAACCCCATTCGACACGCAAATAATAAATGTCTACCTTTATTATTAACTATCTGAAATAATTTTAAACCACAGCGTCATTTTTAATATCGCCTATTTCAAATTTTCGCGGTATTTTTGATTTTTAAAAATAATATTAACTATGTAATTATAGAATTATGAATGATAAATAATTATTGGTATTATTATTATTATTATTATTATTATTATATCATTACCAATTTTATAATTATTTGTTAATATAGCAATTAAATTTCTGGTCGTACTTTACGGAAATTTATTGAAATATTTCCATGAAGATTTTTTGGGGAAAATGAATTTTAATTTTGTTTATTTAATACTTGATAATTCAGTTAATAAATAGAATTATTCGAAATTTAATTCCAATCGTTAAAAATCCTGCAATCCCTGAAATTAATTGGGTAATTAATGATAATGAATTAATGACGGAAAAAAATTGTTTAATACTCGACGTTTTGATCTTTTTTTTTTATTTGAGATAAAGATGAAAAATTAATGCACAATTCAGCATTCACTGAAGCCCAAATGGCGTGCACCACCTGGTTACCTGATTTAATGATGTTATCAAGGGACCAATGTACCTCACCACCATTATTATCAGGACATTAATGGTCCTCGAATACTCATTAACCGGAAACACGCGTTCCTCATGTTTATGAGAATAAACTCCCATTGAATTTTCTATCTAAAATCGATTTCAGCTCAATGAACTCTCACCGTAAATATTCTATCGAGTGCATTAACATCATAAATAATTAACAAATGAGTTGGGACCATCGCCTGACTGTTATTAATTATTTTTTTATTATTATCTACATTTGTTTAACCCTGCTTATATTATATCGAGTCTTTAAACCAAAGTTTAAATGTTAACAATAAATGGAAGATCGGATTAATTAATTAAAATAAATCGTTAAATATTTACTCTTTTACACATTACTCGAAAGAAGATTCTTAATTAATTAATTAAATTAAAATTAATTAATTAATTAATTAACTTCGACCAAAAATCAGATGAAATCAGTTCTGAAATCAGGGAAATCATGGGATTTCAATGATTTCAATTGATTTCATATGAAATCATTTGCAACAATTTAAAATTATTTAAAATCAGAAATTTTTGGATTAAATTCGGAATTAATCAGACAATCATTACCAGCAGCACTTGAAAATATATTTTTTTTCCTTTGAGGTTTTATCTCGAGACTCCTAGATAAAAGAGACGTAATTGGAGTCATAAGGATAAGCCCGGTCTGGGGACTGAAGGTAAATAAGAAAGTGGAAAAAAAAAGAAATACGATAGGCAAGGGGAAATGTTATTCTTCTTCTGGGAAGTGATTTACACGAGATATCGAGCGTCTCGAGAGGAAATGAATGAATGAACGAATTAGCCTCGAGTAAAGAAGGCGAAAATACCAGAAAAAGAAGGCGTCGTCGGGTGAACGAAGAGATGGTAATTAATACCAGTGGTAATTAATCCAACGGTCGGACCTTTCAACAATTAACTCAATTCAAATCAGAGACTCTAGTACTCAAAATCCTCTTCATTATCGCGAGATCATAAGTGGATCAATCCTGTAAATTAATTTATCAATTAATAACAATTAATACCAATTAACACCGATTAATGCCAATTAGTAGCAATTAATATCAAATGATAATTAATATCAATTAATAACAATTATTTATGGTTTTTCGGATAAAAATAATCTTCTGTATTTTTTAGAATGAAATATGGAAAATTGTTATAAAATTGAAATTAAAATTATATAAGAAATTTAATTAGAATTAAATGAAAAATTGATCTTTAATGGTTGAAGTTTTAGTGGCAGATTGAGAAGTTTTAATTTCTTATTTTTTATTGGACCCATTTCGTATTTTGGAATGTAGAGAGCGGATTCGGTGGAGAGTGAGAATTCGGTGGCCATAAACGACCAACCGTAAAGATCATAACGGTACATTAAACTCTTGCCAAGGGTATCGTTCACCCTCCGGTAAAGCCTCTGATTTTCTCAACGAAATTGTCTAATGTTTCGGAGAAGTCTCGTGGTGTTTACTGGTAAAATCATGACTCCATTATCTCAATATCACAGAGACTCTAGTTTCATGAACGTGGAAATTATGCGTGTAATTAAAGAATTAGTGGCTGTCCCATAATCGTCTTGATGTTCATGTTGTTGATCATGAGAAATTTCGGGAGAGCAAGTGGATTTTTGCGATTTCTATTATAAATGAAGACAGAGGATAAACTCATTTCATTTATTTATTAAATATATCGAGTGCAGAGTGGAAAACTGGTGAGAAGTAAATATTCTTGGCAAAAATAATTTTTTTTCTCAGGGTCGGACACGGGTTCGACTCCAGCGTGAGGCAGGAAAATTTTATTCTTTAAAAAATCGTCGAATGGGAGTCTAGACTCTAGACACAAAGAATCATCAA